GGATTCAAATTTGGCTTTATGAACAAAATAATTTAAGGATCGAAGGTCACATTATTGGTTTTGATGAATACATGAATTTGGTGTTAGATGATGCACAGGAAGTACATGTAAAGAATAAAACCAAAAAACAACTTGGTAAGTCAAATTTTTCAATAACCTAATGATTTTTTCTACAACATTGTTTTTAAGAAATAAGTAATATATTATCAAAAAAAATTTTTTTTTAGGTCGTATTCTTCTTAAAGGCGATAACATAACTTTGATTCAAAATGTTGCAACATAAGTTCTCATTTATAATTCATGAAGTATCATGGACAATTTTGATATTGTATAAATTACAATAAACCAAAATGGATGAAAACAAAATTTATGTGTGTTTATGTGTAACACTTATCTTCTGTCAATGCAGTTTTAAAATTAAAATTTGTATTAATGACGTGAACATTTAAATATGTTATTGTTGCTACAGGCGAGTAATAAGAATTTTTTATTCTTAATTGATGGTTTATTATGTTTATATATATATATATATATATATATATATATATATATATATATATATATATATATATATATACGAAATATTAAATAAAAATTTTGAATCGTGATAGTGACAGGTGGAGTTAAATTTTTTTTTTTTTTTTTTTTTTTTTTTTTTTGCAGCGTTTTAAATGTTAGGATCTTGATTTTTGAGTCGAATGATTTTATTAAATATGATTTTTTGAATAATTTCATTTTAAGAAGTTCTAGTAACTGCTCGTTCCTAAATTATACAACGCAAAATATTTAAAAAAAAAAAACAGAGAGGAGATATTAATATAGCTTGAGCTCTTTTACGCGGCGATTTTCATTTAACTTAATGGGTCATTTTAATTTTTTTTAAATTAAGACTGCGAGGAAAAACTTTTGTTTTGATTATTGGGAAAGTTTGCGTTATGATTTTAATTGCATTACGTTTTATTCTAATTGCATTAATATTCTAATGAATATTAATGCAATTAGAATTCAATAAGTGTTTGCATAGCTCAGTTATTCAAACAAAATGTTAAAACATTTACAGATGTAGTACGAGCTCAAATCTAGCCATCGCTAACTCAGCGCACAGTGGTCAGAAAGGTCTCAAAATGCGAATTAATTGGGATCATGAAAAGTCAACTTTTTTATATCAATAAAATTTTATATTTGTAATTCAACCCTTTTTAGCTACTTTTGCCATATTTACATTTAATAATCTTCATCCGAAGTGCAAAAAATATTTTGACAACTACATGGTACAAAAGCAATTTTTTTTGGCAAATTGATTTGCTCAAAATTTATAACGTTTTAAAATTCAGTTATCACAATGTTTATTTAACTGGGTCCAAAATTGTACTGTAGATAACGTTTAGCCTTTTGAGGGCATATGAGCATATAATTCAACAAATTTCGTGTAATTTTTAGACTTCCAGATGGTTTTAAATCAAAGACCAAAATTCATTAAAAATTCCAAATTCAACCCGAAATAAAAATGTGTCCAGTTTTGTAATTGATTCTTAACATTTAAAGATAACTGAAACATTCATCTATTTGAAATCATTCAAAATTAGTCCGACCGAATCTGATCAAAGGAGAAATTGAATGTCAAACAAAGCTGGCGTTAATTCTTATATTATTTAAAATGCGCGCATTTTCTTGCGCGAACAAAACAGTCAATCTTTTTCACGAATTTGATCATTTGCAAAATAGTTTTTCGTTTTGAAATGATTATTATTTAAAGTTTTGAAATAAATGATGCAAAAATAACATCAGCTTGTAAATACCTAAGGTGAGTGAATTTATTATTTCATTAAAAAAGAGAATTTTAATCTTTTCAGTAAAGTATAAAAGTTAAAAATACAAAATCCCCACGAAATTAGCTGATAATATAAACAACATTAAAAGATGTAAAATTATTTTAGGGCACAAATTAATATGGATGATGACCCAAATGTGGATTTTCCGATCACAAATTGAAACTAATGTACAGAGATGAAGGAAAATGATGCTCCATTCACACATCGCCAAAGCCAGCTCCAACTTCTTACAAATCACATGCAGTGCTTCCTTTGTTCAGATTGTCAAACAGAAGATGTTGAGATTATACAAAGCAAATTAAATACCTTGCTCTCACGTGCTATTTCAAGGTATAAGAAACATTCCTACAATTTTGAAAAGTTCTTCAACAGCTTATTAAATGCAGTCTTTTTGTCCAATACTTTCATGCTTGTAAATGCTCACAAGAAAAAGATGCATCAAAGAAACGTTCTCCAGAAGAAAAAATAGGCTGGAAGAAAGGAGCTACCTTTCCAAGAGAAATCGGTCAGAGCAAAATAAATTGCAAGTGCAAAGATAAAGCAAGAACATGAGCCAGAAGCTATTACCAAAGCTGCCTCTCAACAACAAAATTTAATGGGAAAGTGGATCAAAATGTCTACAGGTGAAACTGATGAAAAGGTCCAAAAAGCAATAAAGCAATTACTTTAGAGAAACATGAAATTCAGAAAAAAACTCCAATGGAAGCTTTAGCTTTTCTCTTGTTGAATGATAAGACCAAACATCAATACAACTCAATGAAAAATACCTGCACAGAGAGTAATGGCAATATTTGGCCAAACTATAATTTGGTAGTTGAGGCTAAAAAAATCTGCCGTCCTGATGGTATTCAATTTGAAGAACATTCAGCTTGGGTCCCTATCCAAAAGTTACTGGATCAAACCACTCAAAAGATCCTGGATGAGTCTCTGCTTTCAGCTCTCATTGAGAATGGCAATCCACTGAAGTTAATCCTGTACTTTGAGTATGGGCTTGATGGATGTGGTTCTTTCAGCACCTTTCAACAAAAAGATTCTACTGGCAAGATTCCAGATGGCAACACCTTGCTGATCACTCAACTGGTATCCATCCAGATTGTTAATGCAAATTGCACTAATGTCGTCATCTATTATAACAACTTTTCAAGTTCACCTCAGTCTTATAGACCAATTCGAATTACAAGATAGGATTCAAAAAGAAATTGTTGATCTGTAGATCAACAACTTTTTATTAAATTCTATTGGCAAAATGCTGCAACAATTAACAAAGTGTCCAGCCCAGTGGCGGAACTTCAAAATTTGGGCCCCCCCCCCCCCCCGCAAAAGAATGTTTTTTTTGCGGAAAAGAGTTTTATAGTATAAATATTATTGAGAGTATAACTTTTTTTATATGAGGGCCCCCTATAGCTGGTAAGCCCCCCCGCAACGCAGGGTCCTGCGTCCAGTAGTTCCGCCACTGGTCCAGCCTCAACTTCATGTGCCTTCTGTCTCAAGACATTTAAAGCTATTGCATAACCAGATGGTGAATTCCTACCAAAAGAAGGCACCCTTCAGTTTGGTGCATCAATACTACACTTTGGATTAAGATTATTTGAGGCAATTTATCACATTGGATACCGCCAAGATGTAAAAAAAGTGTCGCAATAGGTTCTCTGAGCATGAAAAGTCAACTGTGGCAGAAAGCGAAAAAAAAGTGGAAGTTGATTTTGAGGAAAAACTTAGGATCATCATTGACAAACGAAGAAATGGTGGAGCTGGCACAACTACAACTGGTAATGTTGTCAGGAAAGCTTTCCGCAATCATGGTATCACTGCACAAATATGCAATGTGTCAGTTCAGCTTGTTGAAAACACTTCCACTTTATGGCGAGTTCTTGCATCAGGACTCCCTATATATTCACAAAAATTTGAAAACTTGTGCCAAGAAGTTAAAAAAAATCTACTTCAACCAAGAAAATGGAGTTGGTTGGTAATTTACAAAACGTATTACATGACATTCATCAAAAGCATTTTTTATGATTAAATTCATTCTTTAAAAAGTCATTTATACAATTAAAATCATTTATTTAAATTATTTACAATGGGATGTATTATTACAAACAAAATTATTATAATATTGTTATTAATAAAAGCAAACACTTAAGACACAACATAAAAATAAAATAAATAATGACCACTTTTGTTATCAAGAATAAAAATCAACTATGAACAAATTTCAACAAACTATAATACTTGAGAAAAATGTCAAATGTTTAAAGTTGCAACATTTTTAATATATATATATATATATATATATATATATATATATATATATATATATATATATATATATATATATATATATATATATATATATATACGGAAAAAAACACATACTGAAACTTTTTAGTCCCTGTGTAATAAGGTTAATATATATACTTAAGAGGTAATCCACTGTTATTCAGGGTGGTAGCCCTCCTTCAAATAACTTGAAGAGGTAATCTACTGTTGTTTAGCTTGTAATAAATTGACATGATGATATTTCACTCAAGAGTACCCAAGTAACTGACGAGGGTATTTCAGATCACAGTATGATTCGGGTAGAACTTCATCAACCTTCAAATACTAAAACTGTTTAGTTTTCAAAACGAAACTTTAAAAAACTAAACTTGTCATGCTTTATAAAAGAATTGCAAGTGATGCCATGTTGCTTATCACCTGAAAACAATGTGGATAATTATGCTGAACAAATAAGATCAAGTATAACAACTGTTCTTGATCATTTAGCACCCATTCGAAAATATTCAATGCGAAATGGTAAACATGATGATAAATGGTTATCTTCAGATGCCAAGAATAAAAAAATCAGACGTTGTAAACTTGAGCGTTGTTATAGAAAAACTGGTAGTTTATCAGATAAAAAATTATAACGAATGTTATCATTATAAGGCAAATCTAAATTCAGCATACGATGATCAAAAAGAAACATGGAACATTACCAAGAAATTACTACATTCGAATAGTTCTAAAACTAATAACACAATACCAGAAGCAAAATGCGATATAATAAGTGAATATTTCATACGCAAACTCGAAATTATAAAGAACACTTTCCACGAAAAGCTTGCAAAAACCCCATATATCTATATTTATCTCAGAGTTATCTCTCCCGGTAGATATATAACCAACATTTGGTTGTTAATATATCTACCCGGGAGACAACAGTCGCACCTACAGATGTGTCAAAAATAATCAAAACTTTTAAACCTAAGACATCGCCACTTGATATTATTCCAACAAACATCCTTAAATCTTGTTCAGAAATATTCAGTCCAATTATAGCTTACCTTGCTGACCTCTCATTCAAATCCGGAATTTTCCCAGCCTCATATAAAGTTGCTCAAATAACACCAATTCCCAAAAAATCAGGACTAGCAGAATTTGACCTAACAAATCTACGCCCCATATCAAATCCCAATACAATTTTGAAAATTCTTGAAAAGCTTCCTTTATCTCGTCTTCATCCACACATAACATCATCTGTCAACTTCAATCCTCTACAATCTGGTTTTAGATCTTGTCACTCAACCGAAACAGCACTCTTAAAGATATGCA